ATTACAGCCGACTTACCATTGTCACGACTATTGATCACGTGACTACAGTCGCGTCCCATTTCTCCCTGTTACAATATCCTTAACCTTTTGCATCAACAACTCATCGAATAAAGGATTTTTATGAGAAGCCTTCTCATCATCCAAAAGAATTTTAAGAAATTTATCATAATCACTAATAGACGCCGTCATTAAAAATGTGGCATTAATTTGAGCCTTCATGAGAAAATCCACCCGACATCGAGTTATATGAAGTAATTCGATCAATTTCCACATTCCAGTCCAGTATCTTCGCTCCTGCCTTCCATCAATACAAAGAATAGTTATCATTTTCTCTGCAACAAGACCACGTAGAATTTTTGATGTAGGTGGAACTTTATTTTTCTGTTCGTAATCCATCGTAAGTACCACAAGTAATAACAGAAATGGTTTCCGAAGATTATACTGTATATCATTTTCAATATATTCTCATCAGCTCTCCGCTTAACCAACCCAAGTTTATCATATTGAATAATCCATTCCTTGAAGTAATTCTCCAACGTCTCAACATCCAATATTAAATGAGATGGTAGAGATGGTAGGGATACGGATGAAAAATAAATGTCGTTATCATCAAAAAGAGAATCAAAATTAGAGATAAGAAAAGATTCAATAGAATCATTCCTCAAAAAGAGTTGATCACCACATATATTCAATTGATCGGTTGTAACATCGGTAAAAATTTTTTTTAACATATATGCCCTACTAGACGAATCATCTATAAAAATAAAAATTAATTAAAATTAAAATCCTCCAATAATTCAATAATATGTTAAGAATTACCCTTTCAAATCTCACATATATCAGTATCAGATTGTTGATTCTAAAAATGCAAATGTAAATATTAAATAAATTAATTAAAGTAAATATAATAATCAAATACCTACATCATTAGTTAACTTCAAGGAATCAATATCAATCAATGAACCACGTGATAATATTACAATTCCAGACATAGGTTGACTCAATCCTAACGAATCATTCCTCTCTAATGGAACTTGAATCTCATCACTCGTTGAAACCACTTCTTTCCCTTTAGATCCAGAGGATTCAGACTCGACCTATTATTACAATTATATAAATTCATTTTTCTGTTTGACAAATAAAATTCAAATAATACCTGTTTCGCATTTAAAGATCTACACTTGTCACAGTACCAATTTCCAGAAGGTATTTCATCGATCGGAGGCTTTAAACAATATGTATGATAACCATTACCACAATTACCATCGCATAGTAAAATATGAGCTGGATCAACTTTTCGTTCACATTTGAAACATCCACAAAATTTACAAAATTGTTTCCGCAATCCGTAACACTTCTCGCAATTAGACCAATCCTCGACATTACCCTCACCCTTACCCTTATCTTGCCGATTTTTTAATTTTCGCTTTAAAAAATTAATTATTTTAATATTTTAATTAAGTATATTAACAATGTAATAAATATTATAATATTACCTTGTTAATATTAAATTGCACATCTTTTGTAATCTTTCCCTTTGATACTCTAAAAAATTTATTTAACTTCAAATTTCGAGAGGGATTTCTCCTCTGAAGTTGATAACTCTGATCAGCACTCGCCGATGATGAAGTTTCATCCTCTTGAGATTGCATCGATAACACAGTTTCCTCTTCCCCAGATTAATTACTCCGATCGACACTCATCAATAACACAGTTTTCCCTCCCTGAGACTCATCACTATGATCGAAACCAATCGATGAGGCAGTTTCCTTTTCCCGAGGTTGATTATCTTGATCGACACCAGTCGATGGTACAGTTTCCTTTTCCCGAGGTTGATTATCCCGATTGACACCAGTCAACGGAACAATTTCTTCTACTTGAGGTTGATTATCTCGATCGACACCAGTCAATGGCACAGTTTCCTCTCCTTGAGGTTGATTATCTTGATCGACACAAGTTGATAGCACAGTTTTCTCTCCTTGAGGTTGATTAATGCCTTTTATCTAATCAATACCAGTGATTTAACAATGTTATCAGGATAACAGGATAAAATTCAAATCACTAAATACTCTAATATCAAAACAATACGTGAATATCATTGACAAGTTCATCCTCAGTTAATGTGGTATCATCATCGACGTCTATAGGATTATCTTTATTCGAAATGTTAAGTTCTCTCGATAAACGAAAAAAAACATCCTCTTTCATAAGAACTGCACCCGGCGCATCAATCTTTATAGCTCGAACTTCACCATCATTAAATGTTACATTTATTGTTTGGGTTTGATCAAAAATAATCGAAACAATCCTCCCGTGAGTTGCTTTCCATATAAGATTCACCAAACGGTAGATGACTTCTCAGCTATCCTCTATTGTTTCAATAATCATGTTTCGAGAAGTAAAAGATTATTTTGGTTAAACGTTAAATGTTCATTTGTAACATAATTTCATCATCATTAAAATATTATCACCACAATCATAAAATCGAAATGTAAAACATCATTATGAAAGGAAAAAAAAAAAGAAATACATACGAAATAATCATTTATATAAAATACAAATGTATAGAATCACATGTACGTAATTATTATAGAATAAAATTATGCAATATGTATCGCAGACATCATAATCATCACATAAAATTGCATGATTTGCATCATAAAGATCACAAAATATAGTGATACGTAAAAAATATGAAATTATGCAATATGTATCACAAACATCATAATCATTACAAATATAAAATTATGTGATATGCATTATAAGGATCGTAATCAAATTATAAATATAGTGATATGTAACATACAGAATTGACCCAACTACATTACATTATTTGTAGATGTTTTTTTTTTTTTCATTTAAATTTTAAAATCTCTCGATTCATTTATAAATCATCAAACAGATATTTACTACTCTCACATCACAAAAATTAACAAATTTTTCACAGATGGTATGAATTAAACACCCCGACCTAAAATAAACAAGAATTTTATTCGAAGATAATCATCTCCCACATTCTATCACACATCTAAACTTAATTAGCAACAAAAACGCAACTTTTTTTCAATATTCATCAACTCTTTAATCCAAACAAGACATTTTCCATTATGATCATCTCTATCTCCAATCGTAACATTTACAATTTGCTCGCAACCTCGGCCATGTAAACCACCCATAATTTCATCCTCAGACAAAATTGAGATTCCAAAATACTCCGAAAAACGTATAGACGATCTTTGAGACAAAATGTCGATCCTTGAGACAAAATGTGAATCACTTATCGTTGGCCCTGTAGAGGAACCGGTACTTTTCCCAACCAGAATTACAAAATTTTTCATGGCTGAAATTACAGTTACAGAGTCAAAAAGTGATCCACATTTCGTCTCAAGGATCAACATTTTGTCTCAAAGATCGATGTATCCAGTGATCGACACCAGCCCTATAGTGATTGACATCGGTCCTGTAGATACATAGTATGCCGATCTTTGAGACAAAATGTAGATCTTTCTGGGTCAAAACGTCTAATTTCGGCCCTGTGAGGCACCCGGTGTCTCAGAATCGGCACTATATTAGAATTTTGATTTTTTTTTTTCGATTGTTCTAATTCTTTCCATAAAAGATACAAGGGTTCGTCACTTTTTTAACCATTACATGGTAATACTCAGTCGATTTGGCTGGCTCTGCCATGCCATATCTCCAAAAAGTGACATGACCTGGGCATATGCCACCAGATCTCTGATATTTATATTAACTGCTTAAAAATCTTTGTTTTTTGTCTTATAAAATTGTTTAATCTTTTTTTTCTATATTAAATAAGATTATTCTTTTTTACTAGTTGTATTTACCATTTCCATTTTTTGTATCTTATTAAAGCATTTAAAAAAATATCTTAATCTTGACATATCCATTCTTTGTTTTACCAATTTGAATTAAAAACTTCAAATTTGTTAATTATATATTTTTAAACTTTTATATATTAATAAAAGTTGGATTATTTATTATGACTATTGTATAAGATGCAAAAAAATTAGATAGATTCAACATATGTCATTCTTGTCTGATTAAGATTTAATTGAGGCTTGAGAGATTTTTGGAATTTTTGGGATTTTATAATATATATATAAAAAAAAATATATAAAAAACAAACAATAATAAATACCATCCTTTTTACTATAAAACTTAGATTATTATTTAATACTTTTGATATTATACAATCAAAAACATAATATAATAACAAACTCACTATTACAAACCTTTAATACTATATAGAAACTAAATTAGTTTTCAACTTAAGAAATTATTAATTTTGCTTCTATGTGTTGATTAATAAATAAAGTTGGATTTTTTATTATAGTTGTATAGGAATTGAATTAGTTTTCAACTCAAGAGAGTATTGATTTCTATATCTTTTTTTTTTTTGCGAGGCACTTCTCAAATTGTGATCTTTATTAATTGTTAATTTAATTTTTACAGAAGAAAACTTAGTATAAAATTTATAACAATAGTGATATATTGAGATATGTTGTTATAAACATTGACCTGCCTATAACAGTCACATGACTTTTTACACTAATTTTAGATATAAATTTTTATTTTTATTTTTTTTAATCCTGCAATCAGGTTGGTGTCGTTTATTTATTAAATCATAAAGAACTATTATACACATGAGAATACATGCAAAATACAATTTTCCCTGACCCAACTCATCCATCTTTAGCCAAAGCCTCTAAATACGATTTATGAAGGTGATATATTGTTCCCCTAAAGAATGAAATTAAGATCCTGAATTTCCAATAGGATCAGCACCTGCAGATCACCTCCACAGTTACAACCATAGATCCAAATTGTGTCACCTCCCTCTTGTAAAAACTACGCAAGAGGAAAAAGGAATAAAAAAGGAATTTTTTAACAAAGAGAAAAGAAAAAAAA